AATGCTATTAATTTCCTTTTGGTCTTAGCTTTGCCTTGCATTTCAGCAATTCTCATATAAGTAAAACAGCACTGACGACATATTTGGAAGGATCCAAACTGGCTTTGAAATCTCCCTGTATACTAAAAAGCAAAACCTGACCATATACATGTATGTGCAATGTATGTATGTATGTATATATATGTATATAAATAAGTAAATGACTTACTAGTAGGAATGATTTAAGGCCTTCCATGAACAAATGGATGTTTTATAGTTTTGAACTATCTTTTGAATGTGCTTTTCTATCATCTTGTTTCTTAACAAGTAAATGAATGTTTTATTTGCTTGGTGTGTCTGTGGTCATTTTCTCAGATTCACCTGCTACTGATTTCCTCAGCAACAAAGATACTACATACAACTTTAGTTGGTAGGTTCACCACCATCTCCATTGAGACACCTTTTCCCCATGATAACTTTTTCAGAAGTGAATTTCCCTTACTAAGTGTAGATTTCTCTCACTTCCTGTTGTTTTACCCATGTTCTTAACTGGGAGTTGTTTCTAAGTTGGATGTTCATAACTCGTGGACTACCAGTAGTATGGAAGGGCCTCACCAGTTCTATTCCAACGTGTCCTAAAATCTTCCCAATCCCTAACAGAGCCTAGAAAAATGAGTAGAGCTGACCAGGATTGACCCTGTTTAGCTTCCTAGACCAGATGGAATTTGGTGCCTTTGGTATTTAAGCCTCTCTAACTATAAAAGTAGCTAAAATATTGCTGTCACACCACAAAAGGAGTGAAGTTCTCACTCACTAAGGGAGCATCTAGACAGTCCCTTAAATGTACAAGCTCCTGTGTTTTCATGGTGGTTGTCTGAACGACACTCCATGTAAAAGTGAAAGCAGGAAAACCCTGCTTTGTGCTGAATTAATTTACCAGATGGTCTTTTAGAAGACCCGGGTCTTTCCAGCTGTGGACGCTATGTAGATGAGAACTGGGGCTCATGTTGCACGACATCCGGTGCCCATCCACACAGCTGTCTTGGATTTCTTGGGTTCCTGGAGCTCAAGAAACCCAAGATAGCCCCCACCCCCTCCCAAAAACCACCAGAAAAACATTAAAAATAAAATAACTTACCCGTCTGTCATTCCCCCCTTTCTGGAGCTCTCCTGGGATGTAGAAATGAAGTGCCAGGAGAAGAGGGAGAAGGAAAATAACTCCTGCCCGCCCTTCTCCTGGGACGTCATTTCTGTGCACCAGGAGAGCTCCAGCAGCAGTCAAATGCCAGCCGGGCAAGTTATTTTCTTTAATGTTTTTTTTTGTGGGGGGGGGGTGTTGTTTGTGTCTTGGTGCTCTGCAGAAAGCCTGGCAGGGTATCTGAACACCCTCCCCCAAGAAAAGTACACACTTTCTGGGAAGTGTGCAGACTTCAACTGGGCATAATTACATTTTAAAAACCCGATTGCTCTCAGATTAAAGGGCTGTGTGGAACTGCCCTAAGTTACAACCATAGTATGAGGAGGGTATCCATTACTGGCAAAAAGAACTAATTATAAGCAACCAGTTACTTTCAACCTATGGACATAATGCATCTATGTTATCACTCCTTGGGCTGATATTGTTTTCTGCATACCTACTAGTCAAAGAGAGGTACCAATGACAAGAATTTGTAAAAGAAGCCCCAATAAAGAACAATCCTGAATGCTTAATAGGAATTAAAACATCAAAGATTTACAGACAACTGTAATTGGATCTTCTATATTTATCACCAACCAACTCTGCCATCAGTGACTTTGTCAGACAGTTCTACTCAGGTTCTCAAGCTGATATCCATTAGCTGGGGAGTCATCCCCAATCAATCTTCTAGCATTAACTGTTTTGGATGGATCCAAGATGACTGTAGTCTTGCTTCAAGTCATTGTAGTCTAATGTCACTGGTATTAGGCACTAACCCAGGTATGGTCAGCAGGGTAACATTAAAGTCATTGTGTCCTTGGTAGCTGAGCAGAAGATGGAAGATTGGAGGATGTATCTTGTAAAATTCTACAGCTGTCAAACTTTCAGGATCTCTGTCGGCTGAAATTAGAATCTCTGTCAGCAGAACTCTACAAAGAAAGATAAAGGATACCTATGCTTAATGCTGGCTTGCCCTCCATCACGTTAGTGCACTGGGTATAAAAGCACATAAATGATAGTATTATGTTATTATCAGATACTTGATACAAACAATCTTTATTTGCTTCTGCTTTTGAACAGGCTCAGTAAAGTGAACTGCACTGTAGGACCCAGTCCCAAAGGTAAAGAGAGTGCTCAAAAGCCTCTGTTACCTTTTTCTAGTAGACCAAGAATATTGGCAGAACTTTTTTATCATGTCAGGAGCGACTTGAGAAACTGCAAGTCGCTTCTGCTGTGAGAGAATTGGTCATCTGCAAGGACGTTGCCCAGGAGATGCCTGGGTGTTTTACCATCCTATGGGAGGCTTCTCTCATGTCCCCACATGAGAAGCTGGAGCTGACTGATGGGAGCTCACCCTGCTCCCCAGATTCGAATGGCACAAGGGTTTAACCCATTTCACCACCAGGAGCTCCTATTGGCAGTACTGATTTCAAACTCTTTCCTTCTTTTATGGGACGTATGGTGTTTGGAACGCTCTTATTTAATGAGGGAAAGAGGTACCCCTGCCAGAAGTGGCAAGAAAATTGATTAATTCTAGTCCGAAGAACGTCTAAATTTGTCCCCCTGCCTTCTTGGAAGGCAGAATTGGGTCTGAGAAGGCTGTGGATTCAGTAGAGCCTATTATTTTATGTCATCACCCACTTTCCCACATTTTTCTCATACACTTGATTCCCTTTGCCCTTCAGGGTCAGAGTTCTGACCTAGAGGGACACAGTGAAAATCTCCACAGTGGCTGGGAGGACCAAAAGACTGGTTTGACATGCATTCTCCCTTTCTGAGGTTGAAGCTTTGATGAGCTTTGTTGAAGAACTGGGAGGCCGGAGTAGGCATGATTTCTGAGACCATGTGTGGGCTTCAATATTGACAGGAAGGTCATTGATGCTGCATATATGCAGGTACTTTTTTTTTTACAAAACAAAGAAAACACAAAATACATGTATACTTAATGCTTTAACATTTGGACAGTTATAATTAATAATTTTGGATAGAATTTGACTACATAAGAGTCCAACTTTGCTTGATTATATTTTTGATTATATTTTTCGTAGACTCAGCTTAGTGTTATAGGGGGCTTGAATCCATCTGGCCCCTTCTGTTCTGGGGTCCATTATCTGCTTTCTATGATCTGAGATGAATTCAATAATAATAATAATAATAATAATAATAATAATACTCCTGAACTCACTATCATGTTAAAAAACAAAGTATGGATCATCGATGTTGCAATCTCAGATGACAGCAGGATTGAAGAGAAACAACTGGAAAAGCTGACACAATACAAGGATTTAAAGATCAAACTGCAGACTCTGGCACAAGCCAGTAAAGGTGGTCCCAGTGGTGATTGGCACACTGGGTGCAGTGCCTAAAGACCTTGGCCTGCACTTAAACACAATCGGCGCTCACAAAATTACTATCTGCAAGCTTCAAAAGGCCACCTTACTGGGATCTGCATGAATTATTTCTGATACATCACACAGTCCTAGACACTTGGGAAGTGTCTCACATGTGATCCAATACAACAGCCAGCAGAGTGATCTTGTTTGCTGTAGACTCATCTTGTTGTGTTTCAAATAATAGCAACAACAACAACAACAACAACAACAACAACAACAACAACAACTTTATTTTTATACCGCACCACCATCTCCCCAAGGGGACTCGGGGCAGCTTACATAGGGACAAGCCCAAAGATTACAAATAAAAGAAACACATTAAAATAAAATCAACAGCAGCAATCAAATAAAAACACATCACAGTCTCAAAGCAACATCATAAAAACTGTATCATGGCAGAAACAAAACCTAGGCTGGGTTCGGGATCAAAGTAAGTGGGCTGGTTCCTAAATAGAGCCAAGGGAAAGTGCAAAAATTCGAAAGGGCTGGGCTAGAAGGGTAATACCCTTAGCCATAAAGTGTCATCGGAAAGAGGGCCAAACTAAGGTGCAGGAGCTTAGATAATGCACAGAATTGCAGCCTAAAACAAACTTTGGGCAGCTTATTTTAAAAGAGGCTTTTTATCTGGATCACATCAGATTCTGAATGTTGTACCTGTAGGAGCCAATTTGGGACAGAGCCAGTTTAGTCAGTGAATGTAAACCAAGCCAATGTGCATTCACATCTGAATTTCAGACTCAGGAAATGCAAAACTAATCCTGATTTAATCAAGAAAATGGCCTTGACACAAATGATGTAAAGAGCAAGGTAATCTGAAAGCCATACAGGATACATTTATTAGTCCAGTGGACACAATCAACAGGGTCAATATTTATGTAAGATTCTACCTAGTGCAATTAATTTTATAACTTGTGCAAAGACTAGACTATCGGTATGTGTGTCTTGGGATACATAAATGCTGGCTATAGGGATATGTCATGAACTCACTTTAAGCAATTTAGTAATAAAACTGCGTGGAAACACTCGGAGAGGGGAGGAGCGGGGTTGTTGGCTTTGTAGAGCAGCCATTCATTAATCCAAAATGTCTTGGCCCTATTCCACCAAAGACACTTCATTTGTGCTTTTGAAATCTCTGTTATTCACAAGCTGGACATATGAAATAATCACAAACAATGAATTATTGTGGTTGGGAAGAGGAAAAATCATAATAAAAAAATACCAAACCCTCCCCTCCTCTGAATGTTGTTTCTTTCCACAACGGGGACTTTCTTGAGGAAGCAAAACTGGCCAAAAGAGTTTTTCATAGATCATGGCTTTCTTTCCCCTTTATCCCTCTTCCTAACAAGAACAAGGGAGCACTGAGCCTGGGGTGGGGGTGGGAGGCTGGGGGGACGGCAGCCTTGTGCTTTGGCTAAATGGGAATCTTTCTCTTTGCTCTTGGCAACTGCAGAAGTATTCTTGTGCTTCATGGCAAGAGGCTCGCTAGTCAGTGCTATATTTATCTTGTAGCTGAACACACACATTTGCAAGAGGTTGTTCAATAAGGGAAAGGCAACCAGCCAAGGCACGGTTCAAACCTTGGAAGTTTGTCCCAGCATCATCCAGCAGACTGCAGAGAGGGAATTCTTTCGATGGCCTGGAAGAGTTAAACCCCTGGCTTGGAACAAAGGATTCGCTGACTTGTCTCCTGGCTTTGTGAGAGACGGAGGAAGAGTTTGTAAGATGGAGGTTAACAAGTTTCTGGGTGCACCAGGAGGGCATCGGAGGAGACAGGAGGAAGACTGTGCCGCCGGTGCAGGCAGCCGAGATGCTGAAGCCAGCGATGACTTGGATTACGTACAAATGTATCTCACCTGTTTACCTGAGAGATACATGAAGGCAAAGTTTACTTTGACAGCCTATCTGGCTTGTTGGCTAATCTTGAAACTCTGCAAGGTAAGAGACTTAATCTCAAAGCAATTGAAGGCACATTACTAGTTAACCTCAGAAATGCTAATGGTGTATATAGATCATTCCCGCTGTCTCTGGACCGGGAAGTCATTTGCAAGTGACCTTAAGTAAGAAAAAAAGCTGTGCAAATCTTTAAAAGTGTTCAACAACTGAAGCATGCCCTGCCAAACAACAGAAAAGCATCCAAGCCACACAGTCCTTTTGAGATTTACTTCTCACTGTGCTAATGAGAAGTCCCCCCTCCCTTCCATCCTGCCCACTCTTCTAGCATAACGTGTCATACAAAACAACTTAGAAAACCCAGGGCCACCGGCATATAACCTTGCCTCTGAGAGAATTCCCATAGAGTGAAAATTATACAGCCTTTTTTTTCCTTTATGTTTTCATACATTATTCATCTACAGTACTTCATTAAAGCGAAGGATGAACATACTGCACACTGGGAGAAATGCTGATTACTTCAAGGCTTTTCTGTTTATGGGGAAGATGACCAAATTAGGCTTGATTTTTCAAAGCAATGTGCATATAATCTAGATCATATGAACTCTTGGTAACTTTTCCATAATTATTAAATGTCTTTCCAAGTGGCTCCTAAACTTTAGAGCAGTGGTTCTCAACCTTCCTAATGCCACGACCCCTTAATGCAGTCCCTCATGTTGTGGTGACCCCCAACCATAAAATTATTTTCGTTGCTACTTCATAACTGTAATTTTGCTACTGTTATGGATCGTAATGTAAATATCTGATATGCAGGATATATTTTCATTCACTGGACCAAATTTGGCACAAATACTCGATACACCCAAATTTGAATACTGGTGGGGTTGGGGAGGATTGATTTTGTCATTTGAGAGTTGTAGTTGCTGGGATTTATAGTTAACCTACAATCAAAGAGCATTCTGAACTCCACCAATGATGGAATTGAAGCAATCGTGGCACACAGAATTCCCATGACCAACAGAAAATACAGGAATGGTTTGGTGGGCATTGACCTTGAGTTTTGGAGTTGTAGTTCACCTACATCCAGAAAGCACTGGGGACTCAAATAATGATGGATCTGGAGCAATACTCAATATGCCCAAATGTCAACACTGATAGAATTTGGGGAAAACAGACCTTGACATTTGGGAGCTGTAGTAGCTGGGATTTATAGTTCACCTAGAATCAAAGAGCATTCTGAACCCCACCAATGATAGAATTGGGCCATACTTTCCATACGGTATCCCGATGACCAACAGAAAATACTGTGTTTTCTTATGGTCTTTTGAAACTCCTCTGACACCCCCCCCCCCCGTGACTCCCCCCAGGGGTCCCAATCCCTGAGGGGTTGCAGAAATTGAGAAATTGAGGTTGAGAAATGCTGCTTTAGAGCAAAAGAAGGATTTATAATAGAGAAAAAAGGATGATATTTGAGAGATGAGCTTTATGCAGCAATCCTATACATGTCTACCCAGGGAATCCAATCGGATTTACTTCTGAGCAGACATATATAAGATTTACTACTGAAATGCATCATAAAACCTCAAGATTGCTGGAGTTTAAGATGTAGAAATGCTCTCAGCTATATGAATAAGAGGTTTTGCTTTAATATCTACAGATTTACAACTGGGAAGTGTTATGGAATGAAAATTAGAAAGTAAGTGATGCCCCCTCCCCTCTATATTTAACCTGGTTTGCTTCATCTTTGGCCCCTTCCACACAGGTGAAGAAAATCCCACATTATCTGCTTTGAACTGGAATATATGGCAGTGTAGACTCAGATAACCTAGTTCAAAGCAGATCTTGTGGGATTTTCTGCCTTGATATCCTGGGTTATATGGCTGTGTGGAAGAGCCCTTTATGTCACTTTTTGAAAAAGAATCACTGATAGATGCTTGAGGGCTAAATCATGAGAGATTCTGTTGACATGAAAACATGTTTCTTATACAGACTTTGGAGCCATTACACTTTCTCTGGACTAGAATTTCCAAAGCCTCCAGCCTCTAGAACAGGAAAATCCTGAGAACTGAAATCCAAAGGAATCTCTGCCCTTTCACGTCAGGTGTAAGAGCAAATCTTCAAGCAGTATATTAATGAAATATTGCAGTGTCCTAGTAGCAAAGAAGATAAAAAACAGATATTAAAAGTGCAGTGATCCTCAAACATATGAAATCATATGCCTTTTGAAACTTACTAAATTTTCTGCATGCCATTGTCATTTAAAAATTAGGCCAAGGTCCCGCGTCTTCAGAGAGAACCACCATGATGACGTTCTGTTGCCACAGTAACATCTGATAATGTTCCTCCCAAGGCCCTAATTTTTCAGCCTGGCAGTGGCCCAATTGAAGGGTTAGCAAGGCGTTTTGAATTTGGGAAATGACATGTGCATCACTCTCTTAGGGCTCATCTACACAGTAGAATGAATACAGTTTGGCACCACTTAAACTTCCATGTCTCAATGCTATGGAATCATTTGTGTTGTCTTTGGTGAGGCACCAGCCCTCTATGGCAGAGGAGGCTAAGGATCTTGTAAAACTACTTCTCCCAGGATTTCATAGCACTGAGCCATGCCAGTTAAAGTGGTATCAAACCGCATTAATTCCGCTGTTTAGATGCACCCCTAGTCATGGGAAAACAGGCAGGTGGAGATGTCCTCAGGACTGGGAGGGCACTGCAAACACAATTTCCCAGTATGCCAAACTAGAGCACCTCAGAATCCCTTCAGTTGGGCTTTCTCTGAGGATGCAATCTATCATTAGTGGCTGTATAAGTGAGCGCCTATTACTAAGGCCTACAAACTCTTTGGCTGAGTGATAATTGCCCTTTCCATAAACTGCATGACTTATATTTGCATGCAGTGTTGCCATGGCAGCTCAAGTAGAATAGCTGAAAAACAGTGTAGTGTGATGAGGTCCTTAAGTTTGATATTTACTAGCTATCTCTTCCCAACAGGGCTGATTTTATATCAGGCTGCAGATTTGGGTTGTGATGAAAGAATAGGCATTGGATTTTTATTTCAATTTTTATTACTCTACAAGGAAGTAGAAAGATGCTTGAAACAAAGTTTTCCCCCCCCCTGTCTTTGGGTAGATTTTGATTTTGATATGTGTTGTGTTGCTGATCTACCTCACAGTAAATTGTCTTGGTCCTCATCTACACTGCCATATAATGCTGTTTCAAACTGCATTATATGGCGATGTAAATGAAGTCTTGGGCTTATTAACTGGCCAGGCTATTCAACCAATTCCTAAATAACAACAACAACAATCACACTTTGGTTGTATTCTGCCTTGTCTCCCCAAGGGGACTCAGGGCAGATTCCAGTATATACACGCACAAGGCAAACATTCAGTGCCTGAAAACAAGGAAACACATATACTCACAGATTAAGGTAAAGGCTTCCCCTTCATCTCTCACTGTGGGGTTGGTGCTCATCTCCATTTCTAAGCTGAAGAGCCTGCGTTGTCTATATACACCTCCTAGGTCATGTGGCCAGCATGACTGCAATGGACAGCCGTTTACCTTCCTGCCGAGATGGTACCTATTGTTCTACTCACATTTGCATGTTTTCGAACTGCTAGGTTGGCAGGAGCTGGGACTAACAGCAGGAGCTCACCCTGTCCCACGGATTCGAATCACCAACCTTCTGGTCAGCAAGTTCAGTCACTCAATGGTTTAACCCGTTGCGCAACTGTGCCCCCTTCCAATTACACACTTTCCACCTCCTATCCAACTTCTGCACCCAGTTCAAATCATATTCTTCTTGGCTTTTGTGCCTCTTTTTGTGGCATGTTTAGTGGTGGCATACTGGCGATGAAGTAGGCCACCTTGAGCAAGTCACACTCTCTCATCCTCAGATGAAGGCAATTGCAAATCTATTGTGAACAAATCTTGCCAAGAGTACTCCACAATAGAACAGCTTTAGAGTGCGCCAAAACAACAACATGCTGTGGCTGTAAGGGGAGTAGCAGATGGTGCCAAGGATTCAAGTCCATGATGAGGGGAGGCTTACTACGACCTTTAACAGGATCCCATACATTGTGCTTTGCTCTTATAACCACTCACATTGTGGTAACATCCAAAGTTGCAGTTGTGTTACTCTATGGCAGAAAAAAATAGCAAAGGGTCCCTGGACACACATGCGCTTTTAATCTTAGAAAAGATCAAAAATACATTTTCTAAAATAATACTAAAGGTAAAGGTTTCCCCTTGACATTAAGTCTAGTCATGTCCAACTCTGGTTTGTGATGCTTAACTCTATTTCTAAGCTGAAGAGCCAGTATTGTCCATAGACACCTCCAAGGTCATGTGGCCAGTATGACTGCATGGAGCGCCGTTACCTCACCCCGCTCCCCGGATTTTAACTGCTGACCTTTCAGTCAGCAAGCTCAGCAGCTCAGCGGTTTAACCCACTGTGCCCCCCCCCCCCAGTAATAATACTACTACATCCTAAACATTAAAAAATAACTAGAAACTACAAACAATTATGTTATCTAATCTGAGGACTGTTTATTCTCTGTCTGGTGGTTTCATTATCTTAGTTTTCTACACCCATTTAGTGAAAAGAAACCACATCCTTTCTCACATAATAACACACCACTAGTCCAAAAGAATTGATGGAGATTTGACTTCATCTTTGCTGAAGGAACACAATAAATAGGCTCCAGTATTTCTTAAAGTTAGTTAGAGATTGCTCCTTAAGCAACGTAGTAAGTTTATCCATTTCTGCAAGTTCACTTATTTTCATAAGGCAATTGTCTTGTGATGGAAACATTGAGTCTTTCTATCTTTGAGCATAGGTAATTCTCATTGCCATTGTCATGTATATCAATAACTTTCCCCATTTTCTATAATTGTTTATCCAACATGCCAAGCAGATAGAGTTCCGGCTTTATTTCAAATTTGACTTTAATACTTTCTTCTGAAATCGTATGTATTTGTGTTCAGTATTTCTGGGCTTTTTTACGAGACTATCACATGATATGATAAAAAATGACCACCGTTCCCCTACATTTCCAACAATCACTATAAATATTTTTATCCATCTTAGCAATCCTTTCTGGTACATCCTTTTTGTACATCATTTTATTTAAAAAAGTTCAAGTCATTACTCAGTGTAAATTTCAAATTCTGACACTGTGATTATTATTATTATTATTAGTATTATTATTAGTATTATTATTATTGTTAGTAGTAGTAGAACTACTACTAATAGCAGTATCCTACTTTTATCTCTGTGATTTTGATTGATACTTGGCATTTGTTCTGCACAAGTGTATTGCTAATAAGATCCACAAAATAGTTTGCAACCACTGCCTTAATTATGGTTTATCTACACTACAAGTTTATATCAGTTTGACACCACTTTCATGGCTGATGTCTCTATGCCAGTGGTTCCCAACCCCTTTTCTTGATCAGGGGCCACTTGACCAGGGACCACTTTGACCAGGGACCACTCTCCAACATTGGTACCTAAAAGGGTTATGAATTGGTTGTTTGGGGTGCTGATTCAGAAAATTGCATTAGATAGACCATATATGCTCTATCCAATGCAATTTTCTGATTCAGCGCCTCAAATAAGCCCAAGAACAGGCCTAAAAACAAAGACCCCAAGGTGCCCCCATTTCCAGGAGCCACATGGAACAGCTCCACTCAGGGGGAGGGAGGAGGAGGAAGCAGCAGTCAGGAGGCTTGTTGTCGTGCCTTTCATGGGTAGTCACCCTCTCCCCTGACGACATCCCTGTAGCCTCGGCACTATAAGAGGGTTTAACGAAATCAATCACTCTCATTGCAACAGTGTCGTAACGATGAGGCCGCAGACCATGTTTTAGTTCTTGGGGACCACTGGTGGTCCATGAATCACAGGTTGGGAACCATTGCTCTATGCTATGGAATTCTGGAATTTTCTGTGAGAAAGACCAAGTTCTTTGTATGACACATAGCATCTCATCTCAAATCCTTGTTTAGTTCTCCCCCTAGAATTACAGTTCTTGGAACCTTACTGAACTACAAATCCCAGGAATCCTTAGGATGCAACTATGGTAGAGACATTTGTAATTGGTATGACTGTATGGTGCAAATACATCTCCTAAGTGTTCTTAGAGAGAGTTGTTCCTTCACATAATTTGGGAACCGTACTTTATTACATCTATAGTTTTAACTCCTCACAATGTTTATTATACATTTCTCATTCCATGATCCCTAACCTACTGAGCAAAAAGAAGAAAACTTTTGCAACGTGACTTTGGGCATGTATAGTTATGAAGAATACACACTGTAATTATGTCTAACACAATAAACTTGAATGAAGGGCCATTGTTTACAGTCTCCACCATCAGACTAGAATGAACAGATCCATTCAAGAAAAGAAATGCAAGACCAGCTGCCTTTCGCAGGCTTCTGTTGTTCTCTTTTGGCACCGACTGAGAGCCAAATTTATCCCGGGGTGATTCCCTTAAAGTCAAGACAGGCCTTCCAAAAGGGATGAAATGGGTGGAAGAGAGTGGCATGCAGATGTTTCCTTTCTTCCTTAACCTTTGGTATTTGTGTCTTCACAGAGAGCCTGGGAGAGAAGAGGCTCAACTTCCCACAAGGTAAGTTTTCTTATCAAAATGACACCTTTAATGTGTGACTAACAAAAAAAGCGCTTCATTTAAATATATCTAGGGGACATCTATTTTTTTAAAAGTGGTTCCTGTCACTGGGTTTGTACTTGTTCTGCTCAACAAGAAAATGAGTGCCCCCCCTCTCTCTATATATATACTTATTGCTTAAACATAAAGGAATAGAGTATTTTGTTTACATCAGGCATGGGCAAATTTTGGCCCTCCAGGTGTTTTGGACTTCAACTCCCACAATTCCTAACAACTGCAGTTGAAATCCAAAACACCTGGAGGGCCACGGTTTGCCCATGCCTGGTCTAAAAAGTTGCAGAATTGCAATGGCAAAAATATTATTAGCAGCCACAGCAAAACACTGAATCTAGGTTACAGTGAAAAAGCCACTGGTAGCGGAAAAACAAAATTCAATTGCAAACCTAGGGTGCATTTACACTTCAGAATTAATACCATTTGACAACAATTTGACTCATTGCCATGGAATGTGTAGTTTGGTGAGACACCAATAATCTTTGGCAGAGAAAGATGAAGACTTTATAAAAGTACAATTCAAGTGATCCTATAGCATTGAGCCATGGCAGATGAAATGGCGTCTAACTGCATTTATTCTGCAGTGTAGATGCACCCCTATATACCTCTGATTGCAAGTAAGCCTCATTGAATTAACATAATTTATGTTTGAGGAGACATGTATAGGATTGGACTGTTAATATGCAACCTATTATTTGAACTCAGGGACATCTGCATGCCCATAAAAGATGCTGATTACAATTGTTCGTTCTGTTACATTTCTAATGAGGTTTGATGATGTGTCAAATGCAGTGGTAATAAAATATATGAAAATGCTTATATTATCAAATGATGTTTTGATTGCTCTTGTAGCTAAGCGTCTTTGCTTTCTTTCTCTTCATGCATCACATGGCTCCAAAATGTCCCTCTCCAATTAAAAACACAAACAAACTATTTGGAGTTTACATCCTTTCCCTTCTTTGTCTTTGCACAAAGCAGCTGGCAAGAGCACTGACCGCCTGAGAGCAGGATCTTGCCAGAGCTGACTAATCAATATTCAAGAGAGTGAGTTGCTCATTATGCAGCCATTGATTATCTCTAGAAGTTGCTCGCTGTGCATTTCTCATTCTTCCCTCTTTTCTTCCCCCGCCACACGCATAACTGCGCATGTACACACACAAACATACCTCCCACAAGGCCTGCCTTTTGTGCCCCTCAGGAAAACAAAACCTGCAGCAAAACCCCATGGGGACACCCACCCATCGAGGTCAGGGAATGGCATGCATTCCAATGGGAAAGGAGGGGTGTGAGGAAAACCCTTTCTCAATCCAAAATATGCCTCAGTTTCAATGCTAGAAACAGAAGAAAGAAAGGAGAAGGAAAGTCCCACCAAATTCCATTTGGTAACAGCCTACTTTGTAACTCTGCTCTGCAAAATGAAAGAAACACAATACAATGTGGGATATACCTTATCTGTTGTTGAGTGCAACAATTTGAAATGCCACTGAACTTGGATCAAACCACGTTGCATCTTTTGCATCTCTTTTAAGTTTCAATTGAGCCTTATGGTGCATCTACACTGTGGAATGAATACAGTTTGATGCCACTTTAGCTTCAATGGCTCAATGCTATGGAATCCCGGGAGGCTGTAATTTGGAGAGGCATCAGCACTCTTTGGCAGAGAAGGCTAAAGACCTTGTAAAACTACAACTCTCATAATTCCATAGCATTGAGCCATGGCTTTTCAAGTTGTGTCAAACTGCATTAATTCTACAGTATAGACACACCATTGAGGATTGAACTATGTAATTTTCTTATCCTTACTTTGATGTTAATTCCTTTATGTGATAAGCTCCAGTTGTTGTTATTTTGTATTATGTTGAATTATTTTAATGTATTTGCATTTGTTTAGGCATTAAATGTTTTCCTTTTTGTTCGCAAACTACCCTGAGTCCCCTCAAAGAGAGAGGGTGGTCTAAAAATGAATAATAATAATAATAATAATAATAATAATAACAATAATAATAATAATAATTACAGTTTTCCTATCAAATAAAGAGAAGAGCTCCATGTGAACTTTGAACACAAAGCACTGAAACATTGTGATGTTTTATTTCCAGCTTGAAGTAAAAAATGATATACATTCTACTTTTGGAACAATGTCAAACACTCTCAACGATAGTTCTAGATCACAAGCAGTTCACAAAGTGTTGAATTGCAATTTGTAAAATAGCAAAGGTAGATTCCACAGATACATTTCCATATTAATTTAGTCTCGATGTGACTTACTTTGAATATTATCAAATGGCTTACATTTAGAGTTCAGAACCTGTACCTTTTAAATTATGACCAGTTTAGAAGGTATTAATGTAAATGTATTCAGCATTACTTTTATTTGCAGTCATGCCTAAAAAAAACTTGGCTATTTCATTTTGAACATTGTACTGAGACAATTCTCATATAATAAAAAAAAACCAATTTGCTTAAATAGTTCTTGGGAGTTGTGTGTTAATAAATTGAAATTTATAAGGGTCAGCACAGCTCTAGCCTCTTAATAACAATATACCTTGCTTACTATTAATAGTATTTGGAAAAGATATATTTTGGAGTACCAAGATATAAAGCTTGATTTTTGAAACTTTTAATACACTCTTAGGCCTGAAATTTTAGAGCCTGGAAAGTTATTTTTGAGAACAAGAGATTTCCTAATCTCCTAGTTTATATGGCTGCTGCTTATACCAGTTTTGGAACTCAAAGACATAACCATGTTAGTATGGATCAGTATGCAAAGGAGGAATGTATGCAAAGGAGGAGCCGCGGTTCCAAATGGGTTACATCTTTTTGCTGGCTGAACTGCTGACTTGAAGGTTGGCAATTTGAATCCGCAAGACAGGGTGAGCTCCTGTCTGCCAGCCCTAGCTTCCCATGCAGACACATGAGAGAAGCCTCCTGCAGGATGGTAACACACCCAGGCCTTCTCTGAGCAATGTCTTTGAAGATGGTTGTTTCTCACACATGAGAACAGAATAACAGTGTAGTAAAATGTGTCTTTCAAAAATCAGGCTGTGACACAATGCTAGTATGTGTTAGAGTCAAGTATATTTCCTGGATCAGGGGAGAGTCTCTATCCCAAGGGATGGGGGTGGTTTAGACAGAGAGAAACTGATGGTCACACCTAAACACTGTCAGGCCATCAAATGCTAATCAAGGTGGCCAATTGAAACATTCACGCCTAGCTCCAACAGACAAGAGTTCTTTCTCCCACCCTGCACCTTCTACAGATATATAAACCCAATTTTCCTAGTTTCCAACAAACCCTATAACTTCTGAGGATGCTTGCCACAGATGCAAGTGAAATGTCAGGAGAGAATGCTACTAGAACATGGCCATACAGCCCGAAAAAACTACAACAACCCACTTTCTACCCCCTTTTTAGAACTATATATTATCATAGAAAGTTGTGTATATGTCACCATTCCATACTTAAATGGCTACATTTTTGGCTCCTGAGTTTATTTGCAAACTGTGGATTTGCATAGTTGTCTCCAGCTAAAATTAATCAATGTCTTATGTTCTGCTAGTTTATCATTCCAAGTCTCTGAAGGTTATCTGCCTACAGCAAAAATAAAATACATTTTGCATTAAGGTTTATATGGCTTTGTCACATTGATCACATAGGAATAAAGAAGAGCAATGTTTGGTGCCTTATACTGGCATCATGGTGACAGTTTAGTACCACACATTTCAGAAGACTGAAAACAAGTAACATGAACAGCTGAATTACACTGGGATAAATATGATCAGATTGCCCTCTGGTGGCTGATTGAAGTGCACCTCATCAAAATAAACAGTTCTGGGTCAGAGGTTTTGATGATTTTGAAGTCAAAACTGAAAATGCTCCACTCCAAATTGCATTATTATATACTAGCTGTCCCCTGGAACACGTTACTGTGGCCCAGTATGTATGTATGTGTTTTGTGTGTGTATATATTTGTGTATATGTGTACATATGTGTGTTTGCATATATATATATGTGGTTTTGCGCATGCATTCTAATGTATTTTTTGTTTTTGGATTTTTAAGTCTCTTCTGCTGTGTTTTTCAGTGTTTTTGTGAGTGATAGCCACTTGTTGGCCTGATAGGTATATTGTGTCCAAATTTGGTGTCAATTCATCCAGTGATTTCTGAGTTATGTTAATTCCACAAATGAACATTATATTTTTATTTATATAGATAATACAAACTGACAATTTGATGTGCATCCAATGAATATAGTAGTTGCAAGGGCTGTATGAGTAGACATGGTAAACACCTCAGCTTTAGGGTTTTACCATCCATGCCATTGTCATTATTGTTGCTGCTATTTTTGATGATGGAGATAGATATCATCTAATCCCAGCTGCTATCTATAGAAGCTGGCCAGTGAAAATGTTCAAATACAAATATAGTAGCTTTGGAACATATCCTACACCAAAATCTTTGCTTGCATCTGTTGTAGGGAATTCAAAGCATCAAACTGATTAGATTTCCATATACAAATTAAACTATTCCTGTAGAGTTCAGTTCTCCCCTCCTTGCATTATAGTGTCAAAATTTGATATGAAGGCATTAAAAATTTAACATCTGGATTTGAAAATGAAGGCAATGTTTTATTAGCCTGGAAAGGTATATCTTGTCAAGAATGTAAGTCGAACAGTTCATATCATCTATGCCAGTGGTTCTCAACCTGTGGGTCCCCAGGTGTTTTAGCCTACAACTCCCAGAAAGCTCAGGCAGATGAGTTGTAGGAAAACGTACTTGCTGTTATCTTTCCTGACTCTGCTATGAATCAGGTTTTTTCCCCCTGAACATTAGGAAGAACTTCCTGACTGTGAGAGCTGTTCAGCAGTGGAACTCTCTGCCCTGGAGTGTGGTGGAGGCTCCTTCTCTGGAAGCTTTTAAACAGAGGCTGGGTGGCCATCTGTCGG